GTGTGTGTGTGTAAGTATGCTTGTGCACTCTTCTTTCTTAAAGTACTGCTTCCTCAGACTGTTTTTTACACCCTTTCCAACCAACAAAGCACCACACATCGCCAAATACTACTCTTACTCGTGATCCGCTCAGCATCTCCAAGCACATACCACACGACTGCCAGCGGTGGCCGAGGCAACCACATGGTCCAGCAGAACTACCTCTACAGTGTACTCTTTAGCATCCCTAGAACCCAACGGAACATCTGGCGCACACACACTCGCCTCGTTGTTGTCCTCCGAACACACCCGATGCGTTGTACCGTGCCTGTGCAGCTGTTGGGTCGCTTGTGGGCTGTGTTGTGGGCTGTGCTTGGCCCTTGTGTCGTAGTTCTCCGCCACCTCTGCACCTCCTTGCACCTCCACTGCATTCGCATGGTCGTGCACACTACCACTACCCCTATCCCCTACACCCACCGGCCTGGCTCGTTTCTGCGTCTGTGCGCTGTGTGTGCGACCGTTTGTCTCCTCTCGTCCGTATGGACTGGTCATCCCTTGAGCTGTTGGGCTCTCGTGCATTCGTTTGGTGCCTTTAAGGTTTGTTTTGGATGACTGCCGCATGGGCCGCGCCTGTTGTTTAACCCTATAAGGTGCGAATAATAACGTTAATTCCGCTGTACGGCATAAAACCGATGGAACTTCGAGGCAATAACAGGTCTGTGATGCCCTTAGACGTTCTGGGTCTCGATATACATATGATATGATACGATATCGTGTTTGGCGTATACGTATCCCAATGGGCCACTCGCGGGTCAATGTGCTGATGTGGGCAGTGAACGTGTCAACCGATTCCTGCAGATAATATGGTAGTGGTTTTGCTTTGTTCTGCTGGTGCACCAGATTGGCAGGCAACTCAAAAGTGCGAACTGTGGTGTTTAACCTGACCTATACGTACTACTGGCTATGACCACGTATTCTCAGAAGGAATCAACGCATTCTCGAGAACGAGGCCAGCTTGAATTAGGAATCTCTTAGCCCACCTAGTGGACCAGTACTGGAGTGCACACTTAGCATTGAGCGCATGGACACTAAACACACAAATGAGACTGAACAATCGGTAGAAAACCAAGCACACTGAAGGGATACTCGCATGCCCACTTGCTAACCCAGCAATCACTCATTACACGCGTGCAATATTATCGAAATAAACACAAACATGTATCTACCTATATATCCCATCTACCAACTCTCCATTGAGCCCCCTACGTGAAATGATCTGACAAGCACATACCTGAACACTGGTTCGCAATTGGCGTACTGTGTAGTACAAAGACAGTACAGTCGCACCCAGGTGTAGTCGCGGTGGGGCTGTCCGCCTTCTAGAAGCCGTTCAGGGTCCATTGTTGGATATAAGTGTCTCTGCGCACGATGTCAATGGAAGCGAATTACCACTATTATCAACATACATGTGTCTAGCGTTTACCGGAGGTTGCAGGCAACACTACTGGTATAGTAACGAATCCACTACTTGCAATCAGTGTGTGGTGAGCGGACATACAGATGACAAAATTGAAAATTCAAGAAGCATAAATAGGTCGGTATGAAATACATGTTCCTCTGGCATGTGGACACAACACACTCGCTGATACGAACGTAGTAGTTCTGCAACACTAATCTCATGCCTCAATCAATACTGATGGCGCTATAGGCCAACAAATATAGACCAGCAAAAATTTCCGGGCAATAGTCAGTTGAGCAAATCCACTGAGCACACTTACAATCAAACATATGGGTCGCTATCAAAGCTTAAAAAGAATACGAACCCCTACAGTGTGCATGCAAGGTTATTGTGGAGGAGTGCCAACCGCGGTCTCATACCCGAAATACATAGGGAGTTTCCCAAATACATGTATATGTATATGTATATGTAATAATACTGTTTTTTATTCACCTACACACACAAGCATGTACGCCACTTCATGT